GAAATGTTTATCCGAATAAAATTTTTCTATAGTTAATAGTTAAACCGTATAAAATTTTTCTATAGAACATTTTATCCGGATAATGTTATACTATAGAAAAACTTTATTCGTATAAATCCTTCTATAGAAAAACTTCTCTAACAGTTTTCAATAGAAAGGTCTTTTCTATGGATAGTGTTCTATAGAAAATCTTCGGTTTTCTATAGAATGTTTTTCTATAAAAGTTTACCTGGATACAATTTTATATAGAAATGTTTATCCGAATAAAGTTTTTCTGTATAATAGTATATCCGATTAAAGTTTTTCTATAGAATAGTTCAATCGGATATAGAATAGTTAATCCGGATAATGTTTTTCTATAGAAAAACCTTATCCGGATAAACTTAATAATGCTTTTTATATAAAAGTTTATCCGTATAATGAATTAAGTTTTTTTTAAAAAAAGTTTATCGCCACAAAGGTTTTCTATAGAAAAGCTTATCCGTGTAAAGTTTCACCATATACAATTTTATCCCGATTAAGTTTTTCTATAGAAAAGTTTATCTGGTTTATATTTTTGTTTAGAAAACTTTAATCGGATAAACTTAAATTGAATTTTTCTGTAGAAAACATTAATTTTTTCTTTATTTAGATAAAGTTTTATACGGATAAAGTTCTATTCAAAAAGCTTTAATCCAGTAACGTTATTCTTTAGTATTTTTAATCGATTCAAGTTTTCCCGTTTCAAAACTACTTCACTCTTTTAATTAATTGAAAATTTTGTGTTAAATTGTTATTTATAATTTATCATATTTTTTATAATTTTCCATAAATAAAGAGAAACCCTATTGTAGAAGAAAAGATTCCTAAACGTATTTATGAACATGCAAATTTAATGTAAAGTGAAATATTGTTTATTTTACCATTCTATTTTATAATAATTTCTTTTCTAGTCTATTTAAAATATTTATTCAAATATTCCTATTTCTCTAACACAAACAACTGTAACGAATTTTATTTACCCTTTATGCTGCTGTTTTACTCTTGCCATTGATAAAAATAGTAACGAGTTGAAGAGTTTTAAAGACAAAATATTTAAATAGTTTAAAAATGTTAATTTTATGTTAATATAGCAATATCTACATATTGTTTTTGTGGAGTGTGTCATTAAAAAAGATTTGAATTTATAATGTAAACAAGAAAATATGATCAGATTGTTTTGAGGAAACTAAAACCGATTTAAGCCATTATCTTTAAAATATGAATGATTTCTTTCGTAGTTTGTTCCTTAAGAAATTTTTAATTCAATTCCAAAAAATTATCATTTCTGATAATGAAACGACAATCGGTTGGTCGCTCTATGACAACAATTTACTATAAATATAAATGAAGGATGTAAGAAAAACTTTTTTTTGCGGATTATTTCTTATTTTTACGATACTGCTCTGCATCAAGAATTAATTTGTTGTAGCAGTTATTTTTATATTTATCAGCTGTTGATGGCCGCATTAAAATATGTATTGTCGTTCGTTGGCCGCATGGAAAATATTGAAAGAATAAGAAAGAAAAAATACCAAGAATTGAAAGATTCTTTTATTAGATGTTTAAAATGAAAAAAAACATGTTGAACTTATTTAAAGGATCTTAAATAAATTGATAGGATTTATTGGCAATATTTAAGGAAAATGACACAAGAATATACAAATGATGTGAAAATTTTTAGTTAACTTTATGGGAACTAAAGGCAGCCTGAGACTGTAGTATTGTGACAACTTGTAAGTTCACAATTGACAAACAATCCTTTGCCAATAGTGAGCCTACCACGTTTGTTAACATTTAAGGAAAATGTCATATGAATATACAAATGATGTGAAAATGTTTAGTTAACTTTATGGGAACTAAAGGCAGCCTGAGACTATAGTATTGTGACAACTTGTAAGTTCACTATTGACAAACAATCCTTTGCCAATAGTGAGCTTACCACGTTTGTTAACATTTAGACAACGGATGTGTATAAAATTTAGATTTCGACAACGAATTGTTGCAATGTTGACAACGTATTGTCGTACGTATGTACGACAACGGATGTTATTGAAAAATTATAAACTCTTTGGTGTCAATTTGGTACCAGACGTGTATATTTCCTTTACCCTCAGTGTACGTATATTATAAAAGTTTATCAGAATCAAGTTTTTCTATAAAAAGTTGGTCCGGATAAGTCTTTGTAGTTTGTCCGGATAAAGTTTGTCTATAAAAAAATTTGTCCGGATAAAGTTTTTCTTTAAACACTTTATGAAGCATTCTTTATCCGCATAAACTTAGCTATAGAATCTGTATAAATCTTTTTACATAAAATTTTATCCGAATAACTGTCCGGATAATCTTTTCTATATAACAGGTAAACTTTTCTATAGAAAAACATTGTCAAGATAAAGTTTTCATTAAAAAAACTTAATTCGGATATACTTAAGATAGAAAAACTTTATTCGGATAAGTCTATAGAATGAAAAATTTATTCGGATAAAGTTTTCCTATCTTAAGTATATCCGAATGAAGTTTTTCTAATGAAAAGATTATACGGATAAAGTTTGTTTTATAGAAAAGTTATTCGGATAAAATTTTTGCTTATACATTTTCTAGAGAAAAGTTTATTCGGATAAAGAAAGGTTCGAAAGAAGAAAATTTATAAAACTTTAGGGAACTAAAGACAATCTGTCTCTTTAACATGACGTTTTAAGAGATATCTCCTGACTGGAGGTCCACACTACTCGTTTTCGCGTCAATGCATTTCTTGCTTTTCATGCCTTATTTGCATCCTACGCATTAAGTTACATTCTACACTTCTTAAGCGTCAATTTTTTGCTTTATTTATAAAGAACTTTGCGTTTCTTTTTAAGTTTTTTATTTATATTTTTCACAATTTAAGTTGTTTTAGTTTATTTAAATTGATAAATACACATTAAAAATAGAATATAAATTGTCAAAATCAGCTGATATGTTCATGCGAAAGAAAGTAGATCAACTTTAAACATTCTACGCGTCTAGGCATGCTACGCTTTTGTGCTTGTAACTTGTAGCACACAACATTGATTCTACTTTTTTGACAGCCGCGTAGAATGCGAAGAAGAACGCGTAGAACGCGTGGTGTGGACCTCCAACTTTAGATTTTTTTGTAATTTCTCATATTTGTTGAAATCAATTATCAATTTTCCGCAGGCTATTTTTCAATTATCAATAAATAAATTAAAAATGCTTATAAAAACTCGAATTGCTTGCTAAACTAATTAATTTCATTGAAATTTTCCCCCATTTAATTTTTGTCTTGTTTTTTTATTTCTAATTAAGTAAATTAATTTTAATGTTTAAATATAAATAAATATAAAGTATCATTATTATTTTAAGTCTAACAGAACATTAATACTTCTCTCAACAATATACTCTAAGGGTCTGTTTTTTGTGTGTGTGTTTTAGAAAGTGTTTTTTGTCTTCTGTTAAGGATTTATATTAACCTTTGACCTTTTAATAATAATCTTTTCATGTTGCTTAAAATTAAAAATGTATGACAGTCAAAAAAAGAAAAGAAATATAATCCTAATAGAAAATACATTGGAATCTTTTGTTTTTAATGATTATGTGTAAAAAATTTATTAGGAATTTAAATTTAAACGTTTCTATAGAATAATAAATAAATAAGAAAAAAAATTCTAGAACAAATAGAACATTTCTAAGAACATTTTAGTTAAAAAAAACGTTTCTTCAGAAAAACTCCAAATCCAAATGAATTTTTCTACACAGACTTTTCGTTAAGGTATTTTCAGACTACAATACTGAGTATTAACACACTTCAAATTAAAAATATTATGAAAATAATTCGCATTTTCAAAAAATCAATCTGAAATATACATTTTATGTTTACACTATAACATTTGTAATATTTTTTATCCAATTTTCAATTATTTATGCACTTTTCGTTCTTATTTTTAATGTATTTTACACTTTTTGTTTGTTTTTTATTGTATTTATAAAATACATACCGAATACGTTTGAAAATAAAAAGGTTTTGAATTGTTTTAAAAAATTTATGAATACCGACCGTATGCCAAAAAAATCAGTAATATTTTTGAAAATCAAATTACAAATTATATTTAGACTAGTAAATTGTATTATGATACAAATATTTTTGACAAGTATTAATACTCAGTATTGTAGTCTGAAAATACCTTTAGAAATACTTTTTATGATTAAAGTTTATTTAATTTTTTTTAGAACATTTAAATCAGAAAACTTAATTAGTATTAATATAATCGGATAAAGAATAAAGTTTTATCGGATAAAGAAACTTTTATCGGGATAATGCGTTTTTATAGAAAAGTTTGTCCGGATAAAGTTTTGCTGTAGTAAAGTTTATCTGAATAATATTTTTCTATAGAGAAGTTTATCCGGTTAAGATTTTCCTATAGAGAAGTTTTTCCGGATAAAGTATTTCTATAGAAAAGTTTATCCGGATGAAGTATTTCTTTAGAAAACTTGATCCAGATAAAGTTTTTATATATAAAGTTTTTATATATCCTTTAAAGTTTTCCTACAAAAAGTTTTTCCGTGTAAAGAATTTCTATAGAAAAATTTATTCGGATAAATCTATTCTATTGAAAAGTTTATCCGGATGAAGTTTTCCTCTACAGAATTTTTCCGTGTTAAGTATTTCTATAGAAAATTTTATACGGATAGAGATAAAAAGCTTATCCGGATATTGTTTTTCAATTGAAAAGTATATCCGAATATAGTTTTTCTATAGAAAGCTATATCCGTTTTTTTTTTTGAGAATAAATTACAACAAATATAGACAATAAAATGATTATTGGAACTCTATTAATAATAGTAGTACGGACGGAAACCACTAAAAACTGAATGAAACATATGGTTTCCCAGTCAATTTATTTGGAAATTTTGTCAATAAAATTCACTTCAACATTAAATTTAAAAAAAAATCTAAACATTTAACAAAATTAAAGCAAACTTACCTTTAGTCATAACATTGTTATTATTGTGATTTTTATTAGAATCTGCATGATTTTGTTGAGCATTTGAGGCCAATTCGGAGTTTTGTACCAAAACAGATGTTGGCACTGAAGCAACAGTTGCAATTAAGGCCAACCACAAAAATAGTTTAAAACTATTTATTGATCGTAAATAAAAATATAATTTCATTTTGTTTTAGTTTAGGTTTCTACTACTTCCTGTTTTAGGTTAAAAGTTTATATATAGTTTTTTAAAAACTAATTTTATTTAGTTCAAAACACTTTCTCCAAAAACAAAAATTGCACTTTAATAATTTCACTTTTTATTTGAGTTATAATTTACTACCAAAAAAAAAATCTTCACTAAATTTTTCTTTTCAATTATTTTGTTTATTTGGTTACAATTTCCAGGATATGTTTACAGCACCAGAGTCCTGTATGAACTGCTAAAATATTTAACAAAGCAACAGTTTTTATTGTATTTTTGGCCTCAATTTGTAGTTTGGTTGTCTTGTTCTTCTTGTTCTTCTTGTCGGTCGTTCGTTCCTTCGCTATTCATTCAACAGCCAGCAGTATAAAAAAACAAAAACAATATTGAAGAAAAAGTGTAAAAACAACAGCAACAAAATAAATTTATGTAGGGGGCAAAGCAACCCCGGGCTTGGTTCAATATTGTAAGTGTTACTCTTACATACACCGACACTGACACTCACACATAACTACTCTCGCGTTTTTATTTGTTTTGTCATACTCATCTCTATAATGTTTATCGCAGCAGGTTGTTGTTGTCGTCGTTGTTGCTGCTGTTTTATTTTCCATTTTTTTTTATTTTGTTCAACTCCTGTTACAAACATAGACACCAACATTTACATACATTCTCTACTTTCATTCATTTCCCAGCCAATATTACCGTTAAAAAGTATGGTCATCTTAGCTTTTTTTATTCGATCACTTTTTCTACAAAACTTATTTATCCAGATAAAATTTATAACATTTTCTGAGGTAAAGTTTGAAAAACTTATCCGGAAAAACTATTTTATACAAAAACTTTATTCGAATAAACTTTTCTATAGAAAAACCTTATCCAGATAAAATTTTCTATAAACAAAACTTATACGGATAAACTTATCTATAAAAAAAAATTTTCTAAAGAAAAATTTTACCTTATCCGAATAAACTTTTCTATAAAAAGACTTTATTCGGATAAACTTTTCTATAGAAAAACTTTATTCGGAAAATCTTTTCTAAAGAAAAACTTTATCCGAATACTCTGCTATAGAAATACTTTATCCGAACACACTTTTCTATAGAAAAACTTTATCCATATACTCTTATATAGAAAAACTTTATGCGGAGAAAAAGGTTTTCCGGATAAACTTTTTATAGAAAAGCTTTATACGGATAAATTTTTCTAAAGAAAAACTTTATCAGGACTTTATCCGAATACTCTTCTATAGCAATACTTTATCGGATACTTTTTATCCGGATATCCTTAAAAAAACTTTAAAAATAAAAACTTTATCCTTTTCTATAGAAAAAAATTATCCGGATAAACTTTTGTATAGAAAAAAAAGAAAATTTTATCCGAATAAAGAACATTTCTAAAGAAAAACTTTATCCGGATAAACTTTCCTATAGAAAAACTTTATTCTGATAAACTTTTCTATAAAAACTTTATCCGGTTAAACTTTTCTATAGAAAAACTTCATCCGGATAAACATTGCTATAAAAAAACTTTATCCGGATAAAATTTCCTATAGAAAAACCTTATTCAGATAAACTTTTCTATAGAAAAACTTTATCCAGATAAAATTTCTTATAAAATATATTATCCAGATCAACTTTTCTATATGCAAATATTATCCCAATGTATAGTCCCACCTTTATCTACGCAGATCCTTTAGGTTATTTTCCATAAAATAAATTTTCCCTAATTTAAGCGCTTTTAACCTAAACAAAACGTTAACAACTCTGTTAGCAAGAACAGCAGTAACGGGAGCAACAACATCACCTCAAATGTATGACTGACAAAAAGACCGAAAACAAAAAACCTGCCTAGTTTTCTCTTGATTTTCTTATCTACGTCATTGATACTAAAAATCAACGTATGGTTGTGTATGTGGCTGATAACCGCAATTTTTATTCCATCACTTCATCTATAGTGTGTCTATGAGGTTACGTCTTTGCCAGCTTTAAGGGAAATGGGGAAAAAATAAATGAAAATAAAAAACAAAAACTTTTACAGAGAGTTTTTTTATTATTATTTAAAGATTTATTTTGTCATGCGTAGTCTGATTGTAGTTACATATGTGGAGTAAACGTAGAAATGGAAAATATTAAAAGCTTTTTAAGGATGGTTTTTGTCTAGGTTGTTTTGAAAATAAGCATTATCACATCATCTAAAGGATATGCACTAAGAGAAAGTACATACTTATAACGTTCTTTTTTAAACTTTTGCTTTCCAATTACACATTTTATCCGAAAAAACTTTTTGGAAATGTTTTAGCCTGATGAACAAAATCATGATTCTAAACAAAATCATGAACTTTTTATAGAAAAACTTTGTCTGTATAAACTTTTCTAAAGAAAAACTGTATCCGAATAAACTTTTCTAATAAAAACCTTTTCCGGATAATCTTTTCTATAGAAAAACTTTATCAGAATGAACTTTCCTTAGTAAAGACTGTATCCGGACAGACTTGTCTATACAAAACTTTATACAGATAAACACTTCTACAGAAAAACTTTATCCGAATAAACTTTTCTAAAGAAAAACTGTATCCGGATAGACTTGTCTATACAAAATCTTTATACAGATAAACATATCTATAAAAAACTTTTTCCGGATAAACTTTTCTATTAAAAACCTTTTCAGGATAATCTTTTCTATAAAAAATTTATGCAGATAAACAATTCTATAGAAAAACTTTATCCGGATAAACTTTTTAAAGAAAAAATTATATCCAGATAAACATTTCTATATAAACCATTTTCTGGATTAATTTTCTATAGAAACAATTTATCCTAATGATCTTTTCTATAGAAAAACTCTATCCGGATAAACACTTCTATAGATAACTGTATTCGGATAAACTTTTCTATTAAAAACCTTTTCCGGATAATCTTTTCTATAGTACAACTTTATCCAGATAAACACTTCTATAGAAAAACTTTATCCGGATAAACTTTTCTATAAAAAAAACCTTTTCCGGATAAACTTTTTTAGAGAAAAAATTTATCCAATGATCTTTTCTATAAAAAAACTTTTTTCCGGATAAAATTGTCTATACAAAAACTTTATCCAGATAAACATTTCTATAAAAACCCTTTTCCGGATAAACTTTTCTATACAAATACTTTATCCAGATAAATATTTCTATAAAAAACCTTTTCTGGATAAAATTTTCTATAGAAAAAATGTATCCGGACAAACTTGTCTACACAAAAACTTTATCCAGATAAATATTTCTACAAAAATCCTTTTCCGGATAAACTTTTCTATAAAAAACTTTCTATACAAAAACTTTATCCAGATAAACAATTCTATTAATTTTCCTTATAAACTTTTCTATAGAAAAACTACCGGATAAAGTCTTCTATAAAAAACTTTTTCCGGATAAACTTTTTTATGGAAAAACTTCATCCAAATAAACTTTTCTATAAAAAACCTGTATTCGGATCATTAGCCGGTCGAATTTCTCTATAGGAAATCATTATCTGGATATGTAGAAAATCTTTTCCGGATAAACTTTTCTACAAAAGCTTTATCCATATAAACTTATCTATAGAAAAACTTTTTCTAGATAAATTCTTCTGCAGAAAAACTTTATTCGCGGTAAATCAAGGTTGTTAAACTAAGAAAAATGTCGATTGGAACTCAATTACAGAATTGGGGAAGTTTGTTTATAAATAAAAAAAATGAACATTTCAAATGAGAAAAACAAAACATCTAAAATATTTTCAATAAAACAGTTTAATTTTGTTTCTAAAATGGAATAAACAGATTAAAATATAAAAATATTAGCAACTTATAATTAAATTAAAAATAAAAAACTGTTAATTAAAAGAAAAAATATGGAAATTATAAAGAAAAAAAGTCATCATAAATATTAAAAAACCACATGTGTATGTTTGTAAGTACTTCCTGTGATGGTTAGGGGAATTCCAAAAACTTATAAAAAATATAACAATAACTTTTTTTGTAATGAAAACATTATAAATTTTAAATACAAATCTTTATAACATTTTCATTATAAAATAAGAATTTTGGGATTTCTTGCTCTAATATATTTTGTTTTACTTTTATTCTAAAGTCTACGTAAAATTATACAACAATTACGTTAATTTAGAACCATCCAATGTCTGAACAATATGCTTAGATACTATAGCTGTAGCTTCACTAGCGTTTGGTATTAGAAAACGATCCATATCGGTTATAAGAAGACCATCACCATCGGGAAAACCATATTTGAATGTTATTAAATCACGATGTCGCTTCTTGGCGGTAATTTTAACAATACTCGCTAAAGGTCGTCGTACTATAATCTGCGCCTGACCCTTGCCCAATTCACGTAATACTATCAAATGGGTGGGTGTTATAATCAAATGCGAGTCATACATATAACCATTGATGTGCACTTCTTGACATTTAAAGGCGTTCATAATGTCGGGAGATTTTAAATAGTTATTTAAGGTGACAATTTCTTTAGCATCACCAGGTAATTTTGTTGCCGCATTTGCGGGTGAATCCCGGTTATCGTCTTGTATATTATTTCCTCCTTCCAAGTCACCATCGTGTTCGTCATCAATACTGAAAACTGGAGCCACGTTGCGATAACGTTTACCATTTCTATCGGCTGCCGAGACATGACGTTGTTGTACAGCTGCTTGACTACCAGCCTCACCGGTGGCTGTTGTGGCACTAGCACCATTTGTAGGATTCACAATAATGTCTAATAGTTTACCTTTAACTTCGGCCGATTTCAATTTCATCACTTGGGAGAAGCGATTAAAGAAATCCGATGAAGAACCTTGTTTACTGTTTGCATCTCTTTTTGCTTGTCCTGCCTTAGATCTCATTTGTACGCCCTGAATTTCTGTAGAACTACTCTTACAGCATACCATACATTTTTTAGGATCATGATCCTCTAGGCAATCAGCCATATGATCACCAAAATAGTCATGTATGGCATTATAGCCACCACTAAGCAGTGACACATATTGGGTGTTCTTTTGTAGAAATGAGGCTACCACCATGTGTGTATACTGATCCTCCTCGACGCGACCACTGCCCATAAAACATAAATGTTCACCACCAGCATTTGAATTGGCCTCTATTGATTGACGTTGAGCTGATAACAAGCCTTGGACGGCGGTAGCAAATGCTACCGGTTCTTGCAACATTAAATTGCAATCTAAATGAAAAGCTGTAGAAAGATGGCCGGC